TAGCGGTGCGTCAGAAGTTTAATTATTATAACAGTGTTAATATTTTAAATATTATTTTGCTAGCACCTAAGCCGAACCATTACCATTATATGAACTATTTTTGACCTAAATATAAACTATTTGATTTTGACAGCAGCAGTGTTTATCTCCGGGCTTAAGCCAACCAGTAAGACTCTCTTCATTTACGCTCTTATTTAATTACTTATCTTTGCACATACCATACATATCACGCACTGGAGCTTGGAGCTAAGAGTTCACCTTTGAGGGTTTTATTCAAGCCAAGATTACCCTCTTGCATTCTTAACTTTATTCATCCTGCAGAAAAATAAGAATACCAAATGTGTCTATGTGAATCTAGATATATAACTCATTTGACTGCAGCAGATCTGTAATTCCTTCCACACTGGAACTGTGACTCAAATTTCCAATGTTTTGAGGTCTAAACTGAACAGACAACTGTACTTATTATAGCAAAAAAAATAAGTTAAGAATTTGACAGCTCGGCACATACCGGTAAATTTCGGTTCTGAATTGCAAACTTGGTTTTCAATTGGGCCTGCTGGGATGCTCTTCTAAATGAACCGGAAAACTGAGATATTTCGTCAGCTGAATTGATTTTACTTGGCTAAACTGCAGCACATGGGCTTGGTAGCTGGGTACTTATCAGTAAGTGTCCGATCCCAAATTACTCTTTTTGGTTAGTAAAAAATTAACTCTGAAAGTCGTTAAAGTTTGTTGGTTAAGCTGTTGTTCCATGATGCTTGTTTGAGAGCTAAAGTGCCATCTTTACCGCTTTGTAAATAACACTGTACCCTAAAATTACAAACAATTTTATGACCGAGGTGTTGTCCTATAGATTTTAAAGGCCTCGAAACAAACTAATACATACGAAAGAGCGTGCCAGCCAACTTGTCTAAAATCGGTAGCTTTATTGGGAAATCATTGAAATTTAATTGTAGAGTCTAACAACTGCCTTGCACTACATCAAAGTTTTGCAGAAAAAGATAAACCTGAAGCTGTTAATAAGGATTCCGGAATTTGCGACTATACGCTTTAATTTAGAGCCCAAAGCTAGAACCTAAAAACAAAAGTCTGCAATGCAATTTATTATTTAACTATTAAATATTAAACTTTTTTATTAATATAAAAATTTCCTTTCTAAAACTGTGCTAACCCAATGATATCTCAATATTTAGACAAACACGAAACTGTCAACTAATGGAATGTGTATGATTAATGGCTTAACGCACAAAACCAATTATTAAGTCACATACATATATATGTATATGTGTATAGATGTGTCAAAGCAATGTCCAGACATTTCAAATCAAGCCAACTAAAATTTTAGATTAATCACAAATACATTATGCTATCGTAGCACGCGTCTTTGAAAGCGCATTGGCTAAAAACTTAAAACTAAAACCGAAAAAAAAACCGAGCCAAATGATATTTGTCGTATAATTTACACGTCAAACTGATAGTTGTGGCGTGTTTACAAGTCGCGCTCAAAGTAAAGGCGCAGCTTATAGCATATGCTAAAAAAAAGCATGAGAAATTATAATACAAATAACAGTGAGTCCCGCTATATGTATGTGTACAACTTCTTCGGGTCGAATGTCGTGTAATTAACTTTCTCAATTAAGCTTTTCCGGATGAAAAATTTGTTTAAAATGTTCTCGTGTTTATTTTGGTATCTAAGTGCATCGGAGGGGATTAATTGTAGGAAACAAAACTCGGTAAACAAAGGCAAAAGTAAATCATCAAATCTTGTTGTGACATGTGTACACATGCAACATGCAACATATGCAGCCACAACAACCGTGAATGACGCATGTTAGCTGTCACATTTGAGCGTCTATTACCGGCGAAAAGCGGCTCGTGCTGCACGTCTAGCTAAAAGTAAACGTGCGTGTGCTTGAGGTGCAGGTGTAGCCAAGCATATTTTTGTCTTCACAGCGGCCATTAAGAAACTTTCATACAAACCATGTCATGTCAGGTTGTTTTATCCACTTGAGTGGTGTGTGCCAAGTCCAAAATGCATGTTGCTTTACATATCTTCTACTAAAACTGCTATGTGCTGACTTCAATAAACTAATAATATTAATTATTAACACAGTTTTCAAATATTTTACTAATTGAAAAATCTTGTTCGGGGAACCATTTCTTAGTAGGCTTATTATGGCATTCGAAATAGCACGATTTATCAAAGTATAGACAGGTTTAGTTAGTAGCTTTAGCTTATCTTTTCTACTTCCTCTTCAATTGACGATTAAGCATTAAGTTATTGGCCGAGCGCGTGAAAGCTTGTCATGAGCTTCTTTTTATGGCAACTACCGGCTGTTTATATTACCAAAATGAAGTCAAGATCGTCATCTAAAAACTTTTCCTGGCGGGGAGGGCATTAGAAAACAACTTCACACCAGATTTTTGTGGCGCTTTGCTTTTCAGCGTTTATTCAGCTAACATTAACTCATGCTGAATGCGTGCTGAAAAGTCTCAGAAGCCTAGTATGGAGCTCCAGGTTTACATCGCCTTCAAAATGATATAGGTTTTTCGTTAAACGGATATGTATCCAGGTAAGAAGTCTTCTATTGTTTCATTAGTTCCGCTGCTCAAAATTATGGAGTAGTATTCTCTGGCACTGAACAAATGGCTTGAATACTGCTTATTGGGAAAAAAAAAAGTAAATGTCAGGTATCGACATTGTTGACATCGGCCGTCATTGTTAGTAGCTTCTAGCTTCGTCTGACATCGATCAGAACGATCGTCCTGCATCGTTGACATTTTCTGGCATTGTCGGCATCGCTCAAACTTGTATACAAAGCTTAATTTTTGTGAGCAGAGTAAAATAAAATATAATTATTTTGACAGAGAGAGATAACATCGTTTTTAAATAGAGAGATAGGTGGCCTCGGTTCATTCAAAAAATTGTTCAAAAAAATTCGCGGTGCAATAATAAAACCTTTAGCGTTTCGGCCTTTAATCGACAGGTTGCTAGACGATCTGTATACCAGAGAAATTATAACTCACAAGCCTTTGGTATTATTTAAGACTATAGAGGTATTTTTCTTTTTCTAAAAGCGACTAAATAAGTATGTCGGCATCCGGCATCTATGGAAGGCGGTATATAGGTCAGACACATTTTTTTACGTTTTTGCCTGATGTTTACTTGACATTCCCAACAAAAAAAGATGACTTGACTAGAGTTTGATTTGAATTTGCATCAGCTCATAGATCTTAATATAGATTGGAGAGCTTACTCAGTGACAAAAAGAACAACTACTAGCTAATAAAAGCTGTCGCTTCCATTTTATTGACAGCAGCCTGTACTACCGTTAGGTGATTTCAATTTATAGATTAACATGTGCCAAAAAAAAGCAACGCAAATAGGAAAGTCTGCGACCATTTTTGTGCAGTACTTCGAGGCAAACGTTTATTGTTGCTGCAAATTGCAGATTATATCTTGCCACGCGCTACGTTGCAGCTAAAATTAGTTTTGCGACATGTTAAAATTTTTGATAAAAATATTTTTTATTTGCGGTGTTTTTGCAGTCTCTTTTACGTGATTGAATAAGAAATAAAAACTGTTGCATGTGTACAAATAGAAACACGCACATATAGATATACAAGTATGTATGTCATATATCTAATTACAGCGCAATGTTCCAATTTCTTTGAAACGAACTATCTCATTTCTGAATAGATAAGGTAATGACAACAATGCATTTGATATTCTGATATCCCTTATATGTCTGCATACTTCACTTGCATTGTGATGTTTCTTATCAGCAATTGTTGCAGTGGCACATGCATGTCTATGGTATTTTAACTGCAATTAACAGTTAGTGTCCATACTGGATAGTTTAGTGGTACTTCCACTAGATATTAGGCCGAGCTTCACACTATAGAGGACGATACAAATTTGAAGATGCTTTCAAAGAGCTGATGCATTTTTATGATATTCTCTTTACTTATTTTATGATTTTATGATCGGCCGAGTGGTAAGCCAATGATTATCCGCTGACTGGGTGTGAGTAGAGCCGAAACTGTAAACCGAAGATGTATGGTAGTGAAAAACTAAGGTGAAGAGTGAAAGAGAAAGGCAAAGAATATTGAAAGCTTAACTACTTATCAAATATGTTTTCTATTCAAATTCAGATAGTAAACTATAGTATAGAAATCTCCAGAATTTTGAGTGTCGGTGTTGTGACAAACTTTTAACTTTACCTAACCAGTTTCTAGCAAAACCCGAAATGGTAATCGGATCTGGTACTATTTCACTAAACCAACGATATCTGGAAAATCATTTTGTGACCGAATTTAGTCGCCACATTAACTCAGTTCAAGTGATCTATACGAGCCTTTCTGAATCACTTCGATTATCATATAGTGTGTAACCTTCTGGCTGTTTCTGATTTGTTGCCAGAGCTGAAATTTTGCCTAAGTCTGTACACAAATAATTAACTTGCTAGTAATAGGCCAATATGATCCCAATCCCATAAACCACAAAAGAACTCACTAAAATGAGATAACTAAGTACTTTCCATTACTCTTTCTTGAACTAAGAGCATACGATATCCATTGATTTCAAAAAGAGGAAAACACAAACTGGCCATAGCAGGTTGAGAACTCAATCTTCCGTCTTCTTTACAAGCAACAGTTTACATACGCGATCGCACAACGCATAAAATGTGGTCGAACCTTCTCCTACATACATATATACATAGAACAAAGTGGAGTGGAATTGCATACTTGAGAAGATGTTTTTATTTGTAATTGACCTGATTCCAAGCTTTAGAATCGCAATAGATAATCTCAACATTGTGAACGATTCGTAGAAAAGCTCAGACACACAGTATTATCGATAAAATCAGTGTAAACATACAACTAATCAAAAACTGCATTAAAATAACATATTGAACGACCCTCCCCGCACAACAAAGGCAGTCCACACTTTTCGCTATAAATAAGCAATAATGTCTTGTGACAGAAACAGTTGCAAATAGTTCTTAACTCCTTGGTCTACATATTTTTCATAATCGTGCAATATGAAGGCTCGTAAGTCGATAAATGAAAACCAGCCCACTTCAGAATATAGTATTTACTGAATTTATACTTTTAGTTTTGTTGTTAGTTTTGTGCATGTGGCCTTTGATAGCCATTGCCCGCGCTGCCGTTGACTCCTGCGATCCCGATAGCGATGGTAAGCCGGTGTGTCCGGCAAATTCAAATGGTCAAACTTACCGTAATTTCTGGGATCCAACACGTTATTGGATTTGTAATGGTGCCGGTGAGCCAACTACGAAACGCTGCCCGAGTAATACTGGTTATAGTGGTACAAGTAATAAATGTATATCATGGATTGATTGGGTATGGGTACCACCATGCGGTTTGGATGTAGGATTGTTCAATGTAAAACTAAGTATATAGATCCTGTGAAAAATATTATTGAAAACATTAACGTTGCGTTTGTTTTTTCTATCTTATATATGCGAAATTTCTTTGATGCTTACTGTTGTATACATTTTGTAAAAATATTCATAAATAAATGCTGGATTTCTGGAATAGAAAACAATTTAACTTATTTAACTCCACAAAAGACTGTGCTGAGTCCGCACCCCTGACAAGCTATATGTGATATGCAGAAATCCAACCCTTCGGTTATGCCTGAAAGATCTGAAGTTTTAGCGGAACCATTTAGAAAAGCTCGAATGGAAGGTTCACTGAAATCTGAAGTCCTATGGGTTCGTTAACCAAAAGGTAGTGAGAGCTTGTCATCGTGGTAGATCGCTATTCAACCGAGGCATATATAATTTGTGTTCCAAACCTTCTCTTATCTAAGTGAACCCTTTACGACTGTCATGTAACGCTCAAACTTTAATAAAGATCAAGAACAAATGACACTTGAAATAATCGACAGCCCAATAGCGTAATTGCCATACCAAGCTAAAGCACACACAAACCGACAGAAGGAACACCTCTTCAAAAGCTAATTTTATTTATGTTTGAAGGGTATGGTAGGGGTATTTTATATGGAATCTTTTGAGTATTACCAACCGACCAAACCAAAAGATTTTATTGATAGTCTAAGCATTGTATTATTTAAGTTGCTATTTGATTCCTACAAAGTGAATGTGGAGAAGGAATTTTTTTCAATTTATTGTTATCGTAATAAGAATTGTTATATGTGTTCTGCGTAAACGGAATCGCGAATGCAAAAAATAAAAATAAGTTTGTATATACTTATTAGCAAGTATAAAAATAATACAATGAAATTTACGCATAAACACGAATTTACGGGACTGCTTTTGTCGAAATGCCGAAATTTCGGAATTTGCAAAAATTTAACAAAATTTAATATTATAAATTCTAACCAGCTGAGTGCTGCTAAATCGCTTTCAATTCGTATTATTTAGGCTTAAAAACTATTAAGCCGAGAATATGAAACTTTATTTCCTTTCTGTTTAACTAATGGTACCAATATTATTGCCTAGTACTATATTAGTATATAAATTAGAAAATAAAGTATTCATGCTAATTAGTATATTAATTTAACACAGCTTTGGGACACATCCGCTCAGGCGTTTTGTGCCGTTGTGGCGAACTGCCCAGTGGCAATATCTGCAGACAAATCGTCAATTTTCCTCCCGTTCTCCCTTTCTCACTCTACCGCTAAACGCTGTACAAAGGGAATTGCCTGCGGCCCATTTGTGTTAACAGCTTATTGACTCGCTACTATCTGTTTGACTAACAACCAACGATCGGACGCACTATCAATTATCGACTACCAACAACTACTGAATAATTGCTAATGGGCAAAGATAACACACGATACAGTAGCGTATGAAAGTATGTGCTTGTGTGCATATCTCGACATAATTGTTAAGTTTAACTGGCAAAACGAAGACGATTACTATAATTGGTCAATTGATTATTATTTTCGTTTTGCTAATTGTATATATAATAAATTCTAATTGTATGTATTTTAGAGCATAAAGCTGCGTATGCGCTTGGATTGACATTTGAGTTAGGAAATTTAATAGAGAGAAGAACATTAAATTACTTTGTGTAAAAAATTCTCTACAGGTGTATTACTAAAATTTTTTTTGTTGTCTTTCGTTTTTGCAACCTTTGTTTTTTTCTCACACTTGAATTCTCTTCAAAACTTATCAGCAATATTGTCGATAGAAAATTAATAGACAAAGATTGTTAGTTGCAACTGTAAATTGCAGTGAGTGACATGAAATTTCTAGTTTACTGATAACAGAAATTTTCATTATTGCAAAAAAAATGCACGATTTTGCAAATTCATCGCCTACCATGCTTCCCCACACGCCTTTTCTAATTGTTGTAGGTTCTATTCGTGTATTTACTATTTAATGTGTAAAATTTCCTATAAAAAGGGCGCAATGCAATAAATTGTCACTCGCAATTTTCGCTTTCAACGACATTGCTCGCACACAAAAACTAAAACACTAAAATGAAGTTCGGTAAGTTTAAAGATTTTGCGGAAAAGCTAAATATTTTTTTGAGACAAAATGTGCTTTTGGTTGTAGTAGAAAATTTTGTCCGGTGAAAAAACAAAAATTTGCTAAAAGACCTATGAAAAAAGTAATAATTATTATAAAAAATATTTTTGAAAAAAAATATAAAAATATTTCTGGAAAAAAAAAAATCAAATATTTAAAAAACAAAAAAAGTGATTAATTATGAAAATTTAGTGCATAAAATGCCAGTTTTTTAATTAAATATAATTTTTTTAATTCAAACTCTCAAAATATATTGACGCAAAATGTGCTTTCGAGTGTAACATTCTATGAAACAAACTTCAAAATTCGCAAAATAAAAATTTAAGTTAAAAAATGTGTACGAAAAAAACATACTATCTTTTTATAAAAAAAAAAATATTTAAAAAAAGAAAAAAACAATAAAATAAAAATTAAAACAAAATATTTTTAATAAACTAAAAAGCTTATACTTTAATTAATATCGAATTTTTTAAGTATTTTTTTTTTAATTCAAAAACTCTTTTTAATGCACAATAAAAAAAATTACAAAATATTTTTAAAAATTAAATATAATTCTTTTTCTAAAAATACGACGTACAAAAGTTTTAAAATAAAATACAAAAAACATAAAAGAGTAGATTTTTAAATATTAGGTGCTCAAAAAATTTTAAAATGTTGAAAAAAGATAGTTTAATGCAATATAAAAAAAATTAAGTTTAAAGCCATCAATATTAAAAGTCAAGATTGAAAAAAAATATTTAAATTATTTTTAAATTCATTTAATTCTTATATATTAATCCGCTTTCGTTATGCAAACAGTATACGTGCTCGCCTTCGTCGCTTTAGCTTATGTTGTCTCAGTAACAGCTGACTGTGATCCCGATGGTAACGGAGAACCCGTTTGCGATTCATCAAGTGAGGGCGATATTTCACGCAACTTCTGGGATCCAACACGCTACTGGCAATGTAAAAATGGTGTACCTACAGTAGTTGAATGCGTAAACCAAACTGGCTTCTTAAGCTCTGCTGGTAAATGCGTACCATGGAAGGAATGGGAATGGACACCTCCATGCGCTGCGGCAAGTGCCTAAGCATATTTCGTATCGATAGTCTTAATGGAATGATATATTTTTCAGCTCTATTCAATAAACTATGTACATAAACACAGCCTAGTTATGTCGGAGTTTTTCATCACTCTTTCGTGTTATACTTTTCACGATCTGTAACTCTCTTTCTTTCTCTTGTGTCGGATTGTATTGCCGACAAACTCGTTTCGTTTCATTCGATTTGAATGCTGAATTTGGAATTTGGTTGAACTATTTCATTTAGCCAACCTAAACTGTATACTTCGATTGCTCAAGTCTTTCTTAAATTCAAACTAGAGGAGTTATTTCATAAATATCCGAACTGTTATCGAGTTTACAGTCCCGAACAACCGCTAGAAACATAGTTAAAATGAAGTTGCTCTGTAGAAATGATCGAATAACGTATACCGGAGTTAATTTTGCTTCGATATCAACAAATCTTGTGTAAAAGCGCAGGCGAAGTTCACGCAGAGTAACCATGCTCAATAATAAGTAAATAAAAATGTTCCTAGTACTGATTTGGCTACTCTTAAGTCCTATCTATAGGACAGACCAAAAATTAAACAATAGAGATGAGGACAGAAGTTAACCACTAATTATAGATATATATGGAAGAAATCGTCAAAAATCCAAAAGTTTGCGGCTCCAACAAAGGTAAAAGTGATCAAACGAAGCCAGTCTTTGAAAAACTCCTCAAACCCCAAAACGACAAGATGCGTAGTAATCGAAAAAGGAATATTATGCGGACGCCGATCTTATAGTTTTCTGGAGAATTCTCTAAAGCAGGGTCAGAATTCTAAGCTAGATACCACTTTTTTTCAGATACGATAGTCAGAACGAATAAACTTTATTTAGTAGAAATTTATCAATTTATCGACTAAATACGGAGTATATCAATTCAGGTGGCAATTGAAATATTAGAAAGTTTAAAAAGTTTAAAAAGGCAGGTACATTTACATGTTGGGCAGTTTATAAAATATTTTCTGTATCTAAGAACCATTTTAACCCATTATTGCTATGAAACAATCCCGAACAATAACCTTCGACTCATCGCTAAGATCTCGGGGGCATAATCTCAGTATTCGGCGCTTATCGGTAGACCAGTAAAGCCATGACACGAACGTATTCCTATTTCAAAGAACTTTTCATCGTACAAACGTAACCGACGAAGTATGTAAATGTACTCCCAGGCGCATAACAGTTTCTGGTACATAGTTAAACAACATAAGTTCTCAAGGCAACTTTACAACACTGCAATGGATCCCTGTGCCAAACTTTGCTTATCGAAAGACGCACTCAATTCAATCCACTCAGTCATTCTTCGTTATTTGTAACAACGCAGCTGTAAACAGCGAAAACCAAACAAAACATTTTTAGTGCAAAAATAAAGCAGCAAGTACAATTCTAACAACTGCAACAACAACAACACTAACAAAAATGTAACAAACATTCTTGTTTTCGCATATCAAGATCATTTTTGTTTTCAAAGTTGACTCTTAACACCTTCGGAGGTAAAGAATTCGAATTGGTCGCACATTTGACGGGCACAGGCGCTCACTATAGTCGAATAACCGTTAGCGACAAAACTTAACTGGCAAGCAAGCATTTGCAACTGATCTGTTGGCATTGATAGCGCGCACACGTCGAGTGTGGTGTGGTGAACATTATTTGTAGACACTGTTCATTTGTGTTTTTTTTTTTTTTTTGTTCGTTTCTTTTTGCAGGTATTCAGGTGTTTATGGGTGTTCTCCCGCGCTGTTGAGAATACAAATATGCTGAGCTGCATATCCAGAGCAAAAATCTACAAGCGGTCATACATTGTTTTGCTTGTAACGAAGTAAACCATTTTTGGTACAAATTTATAGAAGTTTTATTGGCTTCCCTTAAAGTTGCCATTGTAGTGGCTCAAGGTAGAGCTATTGATTGTGAGGTAACAGTAGTTAACTCGTGGCGGTATCATAGCCTATCTCTAACCATAACAACAACAATTCGCTATTGGATTCTAACTGCCAATGAGTAGGTTAAAGCTCACCAAGTAACTGCCGAGTTGTTTGATATCTTTGAAAGCCCGATTCACCACTCAAAACATGAAAGGAATCAGCACTTTGTCAGCTCTGCTAGCGGTGGTACTAAATTACTTAAAGTGGACATTCGATTTTTGGGTGAAAGGAAATTCATTTACTCACTACTATACTTCGAAATACACAAATATGTCAAATTGGTTCGGAAATCTCTTTCCGTGCATAGTTGGCAAAAGCATCTTTGCACTGACGCACTTAACGTCCACTCTGTAAGTTTCAGCATCTGCTTAGCCGCTACACTCTGTGTGAAATTAACTTAAATTCACAAGGAGTCATAGCGTTTTCGTCCATACTCAACTGATAAACAAAAGATCCCCTACTGGATACTGATCGTAGACGTAAGATTCCAGGATTCTATATCTATAGCGGCTGTGCGTGTGATTCCACTGTTTGAGCTCGATACGCGTTACTGAAATTTATTAATAATTTTCAGTAGAGACCTTTCAAGCGCAAACCAATGGAAACTCTTGGAATTCCTCGGCAATACCAACAAACTAACTTGAGCTTTGATCCGTGTTAAAGCTTCTTTAGTATTAAAAGTTCTTTAAATGACGGTTTTCTAAGCGCTTACCAGGTTGATAAGGTAGTCATTGATTCAATAGGCTTAACAAATTGTATCGATATGAGCTACGAAAGTCTTAGCTTGGCCGAGTTTCGTTTGCTTGATTCTTAACAACGTTTATCTTTACAAAAAACCTTAAGCTTCTCAAATGTGTCAGCCTGCCACAAATTAATCTCAAATTCAAATATACGAGTATATATTTTTTCTAGTTGCAAGCTTATCATCGTGCTACAACTTAGCTGATTTTTCCGCAAATATTTACACGCTTTCCGTGCACGATTTGTCAGCGCCATATGTAAGCATGTAGAGTTCGTAGCCAATATCTATTGTGACTAGGTCAACTCTTTGTCGATGCACAGTTCATTTGCTGATTTCCAATTACAATTGAATTAGAAAAGACCGCAATTCCGAGTCACCCTTAATCGGTGTCGCTGCGGTCGCACCGCTATGGTGTTGCCATGCGAAGCTTAGTAGGAGTTTTGGTGGCAATGTTGCTTTTTGGCTCGCTATATTGGTGGTGTCATGGCCGCTTATGTACGTATTGTTGCTGCTGTTGTTAAATGCTTATCTATGCTACTAATCTCAGCATAGCGGTATTAGTTTTTCGCGCGTTGAATTGTTCTTTTTTATACCGTTACCGTGAGTTCAGCCATCTAAGCTATGCCTTGCTGTTTTCGGTAATGACGTTCAATGCACTTTAGACTTGACTTTGTTTGGCTGCAAATCGGTGAGTCCGTGTGAGTGAGTAGCGCGATTGAGCGAGCGCGCGTGCGTCATTTGGCAATTGCTAGCCAAGCGCTATGTGCGCTTGCAACATGTGGCACCGCTGTTGGCATGTGAATGTCATGTCGATCGAGCGACACGATCCTTGCACGTCCAAAGCGCACCTTCCTTACTGGTAGTGTCTTACTTTTGTTTTCGTTTTTCTTTTGCGTACTTTTGGCAATCGATAAATTTACATAACAAACATGTTGCAATTGGCAATAGTAACACAAAAGCTATGGTGCACAAAAAATACAATACTACAATTTTCCACATGCTTACTCGAATAAGTTGACACATTAAATGAACGCAAAGCATGCCGCAACAAGGTCTCTTGAGGATTTTGCACCTCGCGCCATTAGGAGCAAGTTGCATATTTAGTTTGTGGCATGAAATCCCCCTCGCGTTGCAAGTCGAATCAAGAAAAACTAAGAAAGTGATATGGATGTAACTCACGTACCTTTGAATAATAATAGATCGAAAAGTTCCACGGCGATATCGGCATTATGGTCAGCATCGAGGTCTTGAAGCATAAGCTTAGAGTAGAAATCGGCGGCAAACCGAAAATACTGGTTTAAAATTAGCGTTAATTGCCCAGTAAGCGCTGCGTTTAGTTTTCAGGAACCTTGAAGTACCTGAAAGCAGGAAAACGAAGCAATATGCCTTTATTTATGATATACTCTGTGACTTATTTGGTATTTGGACTCATGATCCATGAAAAGTTGTACGTGTATATTATATACTCCATTCCTCAATTAAATGAAGCAAACGGGAGAACAAGGCGACACCGCTACAGAGTATTCACTCCATCAAAAAAAAAACATCTCTGTAGGTTTTTAAATGCTGAATATAAAAGTAGCAGGTTGTAAATTAGTATCTGAAATGTGGAGCTTAAGACCAAGTTCCAGCTACAGCAGCTTAAATCGGCCTAACCTACTACGATTATCCAATACTGAAATGAAAGAACTTCGCGACCGTTCGTTACCGTTTCAATTAACCCTTCAGGTTTTGGGTTTTAGGCAGACTCGAAGCAAAATCTAACACACCAATTATATAATAATATAATACCAACGACAAGGTGGTCCATTAATAAAAGTATATTTTTTGTAAAAATAAGAATATGTATGCGGAGTATTCATAATTAACTGCTAGAACTGATTAGAAACTCTAAGCTATGGCACATCTTTCATTATTTTTCTGAATGAATGGGTGAAACCTTCTTTCTACTTCCTTTTACTATTGGTATCACATGACTGCTATACAGGGAAGGGAAGGTATGGGTGGAGTACAATGCCTTCCAAACTCTCTTTAAACGCAAATACTTTCTAAAATATACGAAACATTTTTCCAAACCTGAGAATGTCCCCATTAAAAACAAAAATTTTTTACAAATGTTGAAACAATAAAGAGCATTGTGGCACAACTCACCAAGCGACAACGGTTTATTTGTATTGCAGCTCGTCAATTTGAATTGGAAATATATTTTACGCGCCAAATGTGGCGTCGAAACATTCCTGTCACTGTCACCAAGAGCAAATGAGCATAGCTGTTTTCGTCCGTTGGATGTCGTTTTCATCATTCAACAGCCAATTATTTAACACCATCAGCAAAGACATAGAGGGTGACAACAACAACCAACACGGCTAAAGCAACGGTGCCCACAACGATAAACGGCATGTCTA